TGGAGGAGAAGGGAGGCTGCGAGGCCACCACACGCTTGATCCCCAGAGCTGATGTCGTGGGGCTGGCTCGATGGTGGGAGGCAGCTGGGAGATCTGGAGTGACAACAGGAGCTAAATTGGGATGGCCCAGAGAGGGCAAGAGCCGGCGGGAGGGGATGTGTGACTAATGGGGATAAACAAGGCGACAGGGAAGATTCCCGGCTGGGGAGGGAGGATGGCCCGGAGCTACGCGGGGAAGCACAGGACGAGATGTTGGGAGGCTCCTGGAAACAAGGCAGGACTGTGGGACTGCCCGAAACCTCCTTGGGGCTCATCTCCTTCTCCCCGCTGGCCCGTGTTTGCCTGAGCTGGGGTGATCCTGCTCTCCAAGGTGAGGTGCGCAGGTGAGCTCAGGCTCAGTGTGTGGCCATGTCCCCCCAGGCCACCCTGCTGTCACCCCCTGGCAGCAGGAGACATCAGCCAGGCAGGGGCAGCCAGGCAGGACAAAGGGACGGAGGGGGATGCTCTGCCCCTCTGCTGGCAGCTGCCTCCCTGCACCCAGGGGTGCTCAGCCAGCGCCTGGGACCTCCCCAGGCATCTCCGGGTATCCCACTCAGTCGCCAGGGAGAACCCCACGGTGCCCAGGCGTCCCCCCAAGCATGGGGGGGGGCAAAGGAGCTGAGCACGGAGGAGCAGCGAGAGGCAGCTCCCTCCCCCAGCGCTGCGGTGTCGGTGCAGCGTGATTAATGCTGCTGGAGTGACCAGTGGCTGGGTTGCTGCGCGGCCTGTGCTGCATTAAAGTCTTCCTGCTGTAATTAGCTCCATCAAGTCTATTAGAAAAATTGCAGATGCTGGAGAAAAGGAGCGTGAGGCAGAGCCAGGAGGGAGGATGCGGCATGAGGAGGAAGTGGTCCTGTACTCGGCATGACCCTCATGGATGACATCCTATCCTCTGGTGCATCCCATCGCCCACCCGACCTGCGCCTGGACCACCTCCACAGGGAGCCCCTCATTGCCACCAGGTACCCCCCGCTCGCACGGTGAGGGCTGTGTCGCCTGGCTGGGTGCTCGCTGGGAGCTCGCTCGCCGCCGCCGCGCGTCTTCCCACGTCGCGCTGCCCGCTCCCCGCCACTGCCCTGTAATTAGCCCTGCTGCTGCGCGGCGGTGATTACCGCCTCGCCCTGCCCGTGCACGGAGATTGCAGCAGGGCCTGGGCACGCAGTGGGGTGAGGAGGAGGAGGGTGAGGAGGAGGCAGGTGCTGAGCAGCGCCGTGAGGACCCTGCCCGCCTGCTGCCCGGGGTCCTTCGCCTTCCCGCGGTGAGGGGACATTTGGGCCCAGCAGGGGAAGGCGGCCGAGGCAGCGGTGCCCGAGAGGGGCATCCCTTGTCGCACGGCTTTCCTCCTGCATCCCGCAGCCCTGCTCACTGCACGATTCTGGCCACAAAAGGGGTCTGCCCCAGCATCCCCCAAATATCCACCCTCGGGGTCCTGCCACCCACGCAGCCCCGTGCCAGGGGTGCCACCAGTGACCCACTTCCCCGTACAGTGGGCTGCTGGGTGGCACGGGGACACGTGGCTTTACAGTGCGGGGAGCAGCTTGGCCCAGCCCCACTGAGGGGGTATTTTTAATGGGTGACACTAAGGCGAAAGCAGCCGGCCCTGAGCTCGGGGGCTATTTTGGGCAGGCAGGCTGGG